GCCAAACGGTCCCGGTTCTAACGGTTCAAAGCCAAGAGCCGACCCACGAGACCGGCCCCCACCTCTAGCGGTCCTACCAGCCCCGGCCCACTTGGCCCTCAGTCCCGGTCCCGAACCGGCTCACTTGCCACTCCTATTCCCAAGCTTCATATCAGACGTGAATTTTTAGTTGAGAAAATCTAAATTGAACGATTAGGTCACAAGAACACAATTTATCTTACTAGTAGAGACAAAATGTCGCATCCAACCCTGTTGGATAGGTTAAATTTGGCTGTAAACAACAGAATCCTAGTAACTTTTCGTTCCTTATAGGTAAACTTTACACGTGGAGGTCCAAACAGTGTCACGATCTATGTTGCGCGAACTTTCCAAAATGCTGCCGCATCCATGTAGGATCCTTAAAAAATGCACTACTTTTGAAAATTTTTTAGCTACTATTAACTAGCGTGATGAACTTCTTATGCTATGAAGCATTATTGGCTGAAGAATCTTTCATGTTTGAGAAGAAGAAAAAAAAACATAAATGGAGTCCTTTTCCGGGCGAACTATAAAATTTATTGCCAATAATATGCCAAAATCTGGTTAGCAAATGAGGCCTTGGAAAATTCGTTTAGGTGAAGAAGAGGAAAAAGTTAAATGGTTGCTGTAAGCTTATTTCATCATTTATATGCTTATGCCTGCACTAGCCACAGCGAAAATTTCCTCTCTTTCTGGCTGGTAACTTTTTACAAAAGCGATTCAGAAGTCCATTCGTGGGTTATATATTGCTACATAGCCTTTTATTCAAATAAGCAAAATTTATGGAGTCTGCACCAGGTTCACATTTTAGGAGCTCTGTCTAAGTATAATTGAGGATACAAGACAACTAAGTACAACTTGATAGAATTGCATTATGCACCCCCCTCAAACCTCCCAAAAAATATTATGTGCGTTGTACTACATTTTTTTGTTCTGAAACAACAGATTTTGAACAGGCAAATCTACCACTGCCCTTTCTGCAATCTGTGCCGGTTGGGAAAAGGATTAGGACACAACCGACGTCATTTTCGGAGAGTCCGGGCAACATAGGCCACGATCTTAAGAATTAGTGCTACTCGTGCATTTCAATTAACCAAAGATCACATGGTACAAAGTAAGGCTGGAGTAATCATCGTTATATTTAGTAATTTTGTTTATCATGTAAATAACAGAAGGAAGGAGTACAACATCAACAGTATATAGTTATATCCTGTGCTGACAAAATAATCTTCTAAATAACCGTTCAATGACACTGGAAATGAGGGAAACACAAATCCTTGCCTCTTCAAGATCTCCGATCAGACCTGTCGGCTAATTCTAAAACGCAATAGATACTAATCATCATAATGGGTTAGCTAATCACCCATGTCAAGTTTTCGATTCACCGATGAGGGCTATAGTTATAGGGGAAGTTTTATCAGGATATCAAAAACTCCTGAAGATGGTTAAGACAAGAAGCTTCTTGCTGGGGAGGTAGCTGTTAACAGTCTTCTGATGACAACGGAAATTTCCTCGTCTCTTGCACCCTGAAGCTACTGAGCAGCACGCACCATCAGATCTGGAATGGACAAAACCCAGTTACATGAAAAGGATGTTGAGGACATGTTGAAACTAAGTTTCTTGATTAATAGCCTGTTTGGCCAAGCTTCTCAAGAGCCAAAAGTATTTTTTTTCCAAAAAGCACTTTTTTTTTTCCTAACTTGAGGTGTTTGGCAAGTTTTTTTTGGGTAAAAAAAGTGTTTTTGGGAAGAAGCAGAAGCAGTTTTTGAGAAGCAGAAAAAAGTAGCTTCTTCCCAGAAGCAGAAGCAGTTTTGACTTTTCTTCTTACCAAAAATACCCTTAACAAAATATAGTATATACCATTCTTATTATTTTTAGGATAACTTTCTAACATATAGTGACTTTAGGGGTGAATGATTTTATATTTGTTGAATTATTTTTAATATATTTAACTTATATTAAAAGAATTAAGTACTTTTAAATTTTAATTTCATATTTTACTTAAATAAAATGAAAAGATTTAATTATTGCCTGTAATAACAAATTTTTGAGATTATTTATTTACTTATAATATTAACTATTAAATAAATCTATCAATATCCTTATTCGTAATTTGATACTTAAAAGCACTTTCTGAAAAGTTTGGCCAAATACAAATTATTGCTCAAAAGTGCTTTTCAGAGTGATTAGCCAAACACAAACTGCTTCTTTCCAAAAGTACTTTTTTCAAAAGCACTTTTGAAAAAAACACTTCTCAAAATAAGCTGATTTCTCGCTATAAATCTGATTTTAACCATTGACTTTCCAGAAATGATTTAGATAAAGCTCGACTTTCCATTTAGAAGCAATTTCAGAGAGCAGTTTAATGTTTTTCTTTGTTAATGCAAGTAATCATATGTCAATACTTGATCCTCGACCATGCATCTACAAAAGCATAGATGGACTGTCCAAAAATCTCCAAAAGAGCCAAGAAGTGGGATTTGCTACCAAGAAGTAAAATCCTTACTTGGGTATGTATGGCTGTATTAAAGTATGCGTATAGTATTTAAGGAGTTCAATTGAATTTTTTTTTTGTTTTGTTAATAAGGAGTTCAATTCAGTTGAAGTTAAGTGCAATATATTTGACAAACTGATACTACACTCGATATTTAGCCAAAAGGCTAAAAAGTTTATGATAGATTTAACACTCTGAAACAACCAAGAATGATGATTACCAATTACCAGTTAACAGGGGCGGCTCAATAGCATCCGAGGGTNTATATATATATATATATATATATATATATATATATTATTTAATAAGCATCGTTATTTGAAAACTTAGATGAGCGAGTATGTGAAATGAAAAAAAAAAGAGATAAAGTACAAAAAATTAAATAATTTAACGTTGATTGCATCACAACTGAAATGAGAACCTAGGAAACATACTTTCTCCGTCCCAACTTATGTGACTTTTTTTTTAGTCAGCCACCTTTCTATATTTGGTAATAATTCAACTTTAGATTTTCTTTTTACCCTTCCTTAATGAGATGATTTCTAGCCACACAAGTTTCTATGATTTGTTTTAGATCACAAATTTCAAAAGTCATTCTTTATTTCATAAACTTCATGTCCAGTCAAACACTTTCATATAAATTGGGACGAAGGGAGTATAATTTATGTGAGGAAAATAAATGATAAGCTAGATTATTAGATATACTTACGTGACTAACTAATGAATAGAGGAATATAATTCAGTAAGAACGTAAAATAAGATTGACAAAAAAATATTTTGATTATATTAATTAGAGTAAGAAATTGTGTTAATAAAAATTAATATGAAAATAAATAAATACTTTATCAAAAAATAATATGAAAATAAAGAAATAAATTTATCAATAATAAGAAATAATTATATAAATAATATACTATATAGAGAGAAATAGTAATTTTGGGGCCCTTAAATTCTTGGGGCTTAAAGCAAGTGCTTCTAGGGTCTGGTACATTATTAGACCTTTTGAATAACAGCCAAGAAGATCTCATGAAAATTGAACATTTTCGCAGCGAAGATGTAAAATAGATATTCGGCATTATATGGCAATGAAAGTTGAGCACTGTGCACGAGGGTTGTATTGTCCCGAGCAGCCAGCAACTATTGTACATCAATTTTTAATCCCTTTGCACCTGTGTTTTACTTCCTTAATAGTTGTACCAAATAAGAAGAAGCCAAGGATTTATAGTTTCTTTAAAGGCAAAAACCGTGAACTTTAGCTCCTCTTTGTACTTGATACACTGTTGAACCATCTATTTACAACTGGAAGATTTCAGGATCCAACATTGCATTGAATTTTTTCTTTTAGATTAAATATGTTAGAGTTGTCATAGAAGTACAATCTCTATTAGGCTAGCAAATTATAGAAAGCCTCGTATGTGCATGATTGGATTATGATGCATAGACAAGAATTTGGTCAAATCATATACTTTGAGAGATGAAAACCAGAAGACAAGTCGAAGAAACACAATAATTACCTAAAGACAAATAAAAGACACACAAGAGTTACCTACTCCCAGTTGATCTAACCATGACTTACTAGTCTTAGAAGTGACAAGGAACGATAGCAGCACAAACATTCCCATCTTATTGCATGTTTGAGCAACTGAACAAGGGAAAGGGCCATTTCTTCTGGGGCTTTGAAGCAGCGCCAGTTATATTAAAGCAGGGTCAGATTTCTGGAAAAACTTATCAGAAAAAACCAGGATCCAAGTCTTTGTCATTCAAGAGACCATCCGTTAAATCCAATTTCAAAAACAACTGCAAACGACGCTATTAACTCCGTGAGGGTCTTTATCCAGTTTTAGGGGGTCACATCACTCTCTTTAGTTATCCATATCAAGCGAGCTCATCCGGAAAGAGCTTGACTCTCGGGTTTATTTGGTCACCCCTAAGCTTTTGGCTCCCAGATTCCAACTTGTCATTAAAAATACTCCATCCCAAAATTCTGTATCCTAACTTGATGGGATATAAGTATCAGAGATATTAATTGAAATTTAATTTAAAAGGAAACAAGACTTAAATTGGCGATACATTAAACTTTTTTCTAAATTTGAGCATTAATTAGTATCGAAAGTAATTTTGGTGTTACCAATTTGGTAATGCATCATTACATGTACCAATTGAAGAGAGATAGAGAGAGTTTTTTCCTTCTGAAAGTACACGTTTTAGAAATAATAAATGATGAAAAGTAGGACAATCTTCTAAAAACATACCAGACAAACCAGATCCTATTAGCATATGATTACATACATAATTCAATAGCGTTAGTCTAGAGAGCGGACATCAAGTACATTAGAGGAAATGGGTGAATAAATTATTTCAATGAAAGTAACACCTCAATCCATGTCAACCTCCTTTGGCTTCAGTTACAACAACCCCCCCCCCC